AGGTACTGCAACACATCCTTTTTTCTCCCTATTAATTGCATGAAATAAGTTTTTCCATCCCTTCACTTTTAGTTTTTGTACATCTTTGGGTTTGAAGTAAGTCTCTTGTAGGCAGTATATAGATGGGTCTTGTGTTTTTATCCATTCAGTAACTTTGTGTCTTTTGATTGGTGCATTCTGACCATTTATATTAAGGGTGATTATTGATAGGTATGTACTTATTGCCATTGTAGGCTTTTGATTCATGGTTATAAAGGTTCAAGGGTAACTTCCTTACTATCTAAGAGTCTAACTTAACTCACTTAGTATGCTATTACAAACACAATCTAAAGGTTCTTTTTTTTTCCCTTTTCTTCCTCCTCCATTCTTTATACATTAGGTATCATATTCTGTACTCTTTGTCTATCCCTTTTTATTACCTCTGGTGACAGCTATTTAACCTTAGGAATACTTCCATCTATAGCAGTCCCTCCAAAGTGCACTGTAGAGTTGGTTGTGGGATCTAAATTCTCTCAGCTTTTACTTATCTGGAAAATGTTTAATCTCTCCTTCAAATTTAAATGATAATCTTGCCAGATAAAGTATTTTTGGTTCAAGGCCTTTATGCTTCATTGCATTAAATACATCATGCCACTCCCTTCTGGCTTGTAAGGTTTCTGCTGAGAAGTCTGATGAGAGCCTGATGGGTTTTCCTTTGTATGTGATCTTATTTCACTCTCTGGCTGCTTTTAATAGTCTGTCCTTATCCTTGATCTTTGACATTTTAATTACTATATGTCTTGGTGTTGTCTTCCTTGGGTCCCTTCTGCTGGGGGATCTGTGCATCTCTATGACCTGAGAGACTATCTCCTTCCCCAGATTCGGGAAGTTTTGAGCAATTACTTCTTCAAAGAAATTTTCTATCTCTTTTCTCTCTCTTCTTCTTCTGGTACTCCTATAATGTGAATATTGTTCCATTTGGATTCACACAATTCTCTCAGTATTCTTTCATTCTTAGAGATCCTTTTTTCTCTGTGTGGCTCAGCTTCTTTGTATTCCTCTTTCCCAATTTCTATTTCATTTATTGTCTCCTCCTCCATATCTAATCTGCTTTTAATACCCTGCATTATGTTCTTTAGTGACTAGATCTCTGTCCTAAATTCATTCCTGACTTCTTGAGTATTTTTTCTGTACCTCCATGAGCATGTTAATGATTTTTATTTTAAAATCTCTTTCAGGTATATTCATGAGGTCAATTTCATTTGAATCTTTCTCAGGTGTATTCATAATTTTGCTTTGAACCAGGTTCCTTTGGTGTTTCATATTTGTCTGTGGTGCCCTCTCATGCTCAGAAGTTCTACTTTCTGGAGCTGCTTAGCCCATGGAGCAATATTAAGAGTCTCAGGGGAGTGGTGTTGGTGCCTGGGGTGAGGAAAGAGCTATTTCCTGCTTCCTGGCTGCTATGCTGTCTCCAATGTCATAACCAGTGGGCCAAACACACAGGTATAAGCCTCTCTGCTTTTTGTTTGTAGCTGCTTTATGTGGGGTTTCCTTCTGTCTGGCCTGACACCAGGGCAGTGGTTGCTGGTTTGTGGGCGAGGTGCAAGCTAGCTGAGAGGAAGACACACCAGGCTGTGTATCACGGTGGGGGCCCTTGGAGCTGCATAGCCAGCCAGGGGGATGGAGCGCCTGATGTTCATTTAAGCTCCCAACCTGCTGGGAAGAGTGCACCTGGAGAATTTTGTCTACCTGTCCTTTTTCCTGAGCAGTAATCTCTGCACAATCCTTGCACCTTTAGCAGCCCTCTCGCTTTTAGAAAGTCTCTCAGACTGCCCACCCATATGAGCCAGATATGAATCCCTGTTTTCCACAAGCAGCTGGAATCTCTGTGTCTCTAGTTATTCCTCCTGTCTTAGCTTTCCAACCCCAGTAATCACCAGAGCACCATGCAATGTAGGTTCATGCTCCCAGAGCAGATCTCCAGGCCTAGGTGTTCAGCAGTCCCAGCCCCCACTTCCTCCCCACTCTGTTTCTCTTCCTCCCACTGGTGAGCTGGGGTGTCAAAAGGGCTTTGGCCCTGCCGGGTCACAGCTTTGGTATGTTACACTGTTCTGTGAGGTCTGCTCTTTTCTCCAGGTGTATGTAGTCTGGTGCAGCCTTTTTTCCTGTTTCTCTTTCAGGATTAGTTGTATTACTTATATTTCTGTATAATATGTGACTTTAGGAGGAGATCTCTATCTCACCTCTCATGCTGCCATATTTAATCCAGTCTCTTCCTGTATCTATTTATTATGTTTTTACTTCTACTAACTTTGGGTTTCATTCTTTGTTTTCTATTACTTTAATTGTGAGTTTGGACTGTTTACTTGGGATCATTCTTGTTTCTTGATGTAGGACTGTATTGCTGTGTACTTCCCTCTTAGAACTGCTTTTGTGATGTCTCACAAATTGGGAGTGTTATATTTTTGTTTTCATTTGTTAATGCTTGATTTCTGTTTTAATTTGTTCATTGATTATTTAGAAACACGTTTTTAGGTCTTTTTTGTCTTCCCATGTAATTTATTTCTAGTTTCATACCATTGTGGTTTGAGAAGTTGCTTGATACAATATCAATCTTTCTGATTTTATTGAGGCTAAATGAGTAAAAATTCTTAGAGTGCTTATGGAACATGTTCAATTCTAAATCTTACAGTTAAGTGATTTAGATATTTTGCTTCTTTTTCTCTTATGTCTATTATTTTATACTTTATTTAATAGATATTAATGTATTTCAAGTCCTGTTCAGGCCTTATCCAGGCCAACTGCCTAAAAAGGTAGGGATTTATTTGTTAACATAAATAGCACTCTATTAAAATGGATGATTGACTTGCTTAGTTTTAATAATACAACAACTTTGACAGTTGGGAGAATATAGGTGGGATATTACAGAAGAACAAGGAGGATATCTGACAAAGATGGTGGTAGGGTGCCTATGCCTGTTACAGGAAAAGTGACATACAAGTCTTGATACATTTTAGGATCAGATTATATGACTGTGTGTCCAGTCCTTTACATTTGGGAATATGTAATTGATTTGTAAACTATGATTAGTTATTCATATTTAAATACATTGATATTCTTTTTTGATTATTTTGAAAATAATTCTTATATTGTATGTTCTTCAAATTTCTAATTTTCTTTAGGGACTCAGTACTTTCAATATATATCCTTATTTGTTATTGTGATGTATAGTCTGCCCTTATTTAAATACTTCTGGTCTCTGTCTTTTTTTTTTTTTAATTCTAACCTGTGTATGGTAAATTATTCTTTTGCTTTAGGTATCTATCACTTGTAATCTATAATTTCATTCTTGGATTTGAGATAACAAATGGTAATAGCAACCTTTAAAAATTAATCTTCTTCAGAAAAGAAAAGGTTCACTCACTACCAAATTAAATTCCCCTTATTAAATTAAAATATGCATTGTTAACTAATATTGAAAGCAAACTGAAATAACATTAAGAAGTAAATATTACTTCTGTTTATTCAATAGAAATATGCTAATATTAGGTGATTGGAAAATTTTAAGAGCACATGTTTAAAAACTCATATCTAGACTTCTTTATGTCCTCAAACATGGTTATTTTTCTCAGCTTCTCCTTTAGATTTATTTGTACCAGTTCATAGGACCTTTCCACAAATTATGGCCATTGATACCTTATAATTAAAAACATTCAAAGCAACACATTATATAACATTTTCATCTTAAAATTCTAACACTTCCTTCTCTTCCTGTATCTTCTATTTCTCAATGGCTCCACTTTCATTGCAGTCACAGGGAAGTCACTGGTGTCTGTTACCCTCCCTTACTATATGTTGATTTACCATATTCTGTCAAGTGTTTATTTTATGATATGCCTCATATCTTTTCCCTTCTTTTTTCTTCCTTCAGTGTCATTCCTCAAGATCAGGTTCTTTTTATTGTTCTCTGGGATAGTTAAGTAACTCTCCACTGCCTTTTTGCCTCCATTGCTGTCTTTCATATTAAAGACCAAAAGTATCTTTCTAGTACATATATAAGGATGTCACTGCCCCTCAAATTCTGTTAGCCATATAGAATGAAAGTTATACTCCTTAGCATGGTATTTAAAGCCCTTTTGTCTCTGGCTATAAGGCTACTTTTTCTCACCAGCCACATCAGCTTCCTCCGTGATTATGAAGTATATCATGCATACACGCCCATTTCTCTGTCCCTTTGCTCATGGTTTTTCTTCAGTCTGGGTGCATTTCTCCTTCTACTGATGCTTTTTCTTTCTTCATAGCTAAATTTAAATGCCACATTTTTGGGGAGAGGTCTCTTATTATGCCCTAGTTATAGTTAACATTTGTTTTCCCATTTCCTTTCTGTAATGCATTTCTTGGACCTCCATGCAACATATTTCATTTTAACATGGTGATTTATGCTGGAGTCCCTCAGTCAGATGTACCTGGTTTCAAATTGTGCTTCAACTGCTTAATTCCTCTATATTCCTGGGCAGTTGATGTCATTTCCTAAGCTTCTTCCTCATCTTTTAAATTGAATTAGCATTTATATGTAATTTGTGGGTCTCTTTTTATATTCTGAAAACACAGTGATAGCATAATAAATGGTATCTGTGTGTGTTTTCTAGATATGCCCACTTGGCTTTCTCTCTCTGTAGATAGTAAACACTTTGAAGACAGGAAATAGTCATACCTTAGTTCTCATTCCAATATGCTGGTTGTAAAAGAAAATCTCATACTCTGTTTCACTTTTTCTTGTCATGATTCATGGAACAGTGAAGGCTAACCCACTAGAATTATCAAATTAATTTATTGCTATATTGTCTCATTCTGCAAAGGAGTTAGAATGACTTATGAGAAGCACCCAAACAAAAGAGTGAAACAAACTTAAGTGCATTTTGAATAATTGAAGTTCAGTTTCTCTATTGTGAACCCAAGGGAAAAAAAGGCTATAAGTAAGGAAGTATTAAAGTTTGTCATCATGTTGTCATGTTTTGTAGGGTCTCGTCTCCGGCAGGAAGATTTTCCCCCACGGATTGTGGAGCACCCTTCAGATGTCATTGTCTCTAAGGGAGAGCCCACCACTTTGAACTGTAAGGCAGAGGGCCGGCCAACAGCCACCATTGAGTGGTACAAGGATGGTGAGCGGGTGGAGACTGACAAAGATGATCCCCGGTCCCACAGGATGCTACTGCCTAGTGGATCCTTATTCTTCTTGCGCATCGTGCATGGGCGCAGAAGTAAACCCGATGAAGGAAGCTACGTTTGTGTTGCAAGGAACTATCTTGGTGAAGCAGTGAGTCGAAATGCATCTCTGGAAGTGGCATGTAAGTGAACATAATCTATTAAATGGCACACACTTTTACTTTGATTTATTTTTAGAAAGCTTCAATTTGTTTCCATAGATGTTTAATACCTAACTAATTAAATAGTCAACACTGTGTAATTTTACTTTGCTTTCTCCAAAGAAAGCTTGTCAAAATAAGGTCAAACCACAGTGTTGCAATGAATTTATTTGTATTGAAGCCATGTGGCAATTATGTTATTACATTAAAACAAGGTGGCCATGATGCTGGTCATATTTAAAATCTGTATTACTGAGTGATAATAATCAAGTATTCAATTTGGCTTTTCAAACTGAAAAGTTTATATCTAACATGACATCAAATATAAGGCATAAATTCAATACTGTACCTATTTATATGTAACTATTATATACTATATATATCTATAAACTTTAGTTTTAGAAACATGTTTATATGTTTGTTTATATGTACATATATATGTTTATATGTTTGTTTATGTATATATTCATACACACACACACACACACACACACACACATATATATATATTTAGAAACACACAGACATATATATATATATATATATATGTCTGTGTGTTTCTAAATCTGTTTTATCATACAACTTTTAAGAATATACTCTCTAGGTTATATTAACTCTTTTACTTCCAGGCTGATTTCAGTAATCATTATCCTAGGCATGAAGGGCAGAATACGCCAACAATAACAGCAACTCTGTTTTATTTATTTTTATCCAAAAACTCATCAGAGAAGAGAGCTGATTTCTGTAGGGACAAAAGGTTCATGCATAGAAGGATCTTGTGATTGGTAATCACAATAGTTAAGAACTTGCCCAGCCTTTGGCATTTTAAAGTATATGTATGTTTTAATCAAGTATCCCAAATAACACTAGTAAGCCAAGATATCAATGCTTTGCATATATTTGAACATTGTTTCCATAACACCATGGATTGCTTTACAGAACAAAAAAAATGATGGTGTTTTTTCAGGTTTATAAGTAAGGTTTTGGTGTCATAATTTAAATAGCACCATAAAATTTTGGTATTATCTATTTGAGGAAAGATTGTATCTAAGATTAATTGTGAATGAGATAGCAAGAGTTGGACTTTAAGGAGTTTGTGATATTTAACTTAGTGGTTGTACCAGTAGTTAAAGATAAGAGAATCAATATATTTCAGGATTCATCAATCTTATTTATATGGTTGGAAGGGGACTGCTCAATGAGAGCTCATTGTCTTACATCTCCAGTTAAACTTGGTACATGTATTCACATGCTACATGGTACCATACTAGATTATAAACTGTGTATATGTGTATTGAAATTATCAACGATATATAATTTCCTTTATATATGAGAGCCTCTTTAGTAAACTAAATCATGCTAGTACTTACTCAGGTATTCCAATGAAAGCTTTTGTTGTAAGGCAGCCAATCTTTTGATTAATAGTTTGTACCAGGAAATCTGGAATCTAATGCTTGAAATGTATAAGCCCGATAGGAAAAGACTAGAAGAATCCTAAGACCTAGGTTTATTTTGTGAAGTATGCTGAGATAACAGTTTAGAACTTAGCTTTTTTTGTATCAGGCACTAGGTTATTTCATTTTTATAACTTGAAAAAGCAGTTAAATTAAAGGCAGTTTAGTGAGATTTGAAATATGCACACAAAACCTCAGAAATGCAAATATTCTAAACTGTTCAATTTCTATTTTAAAATGTTTTATTTCTGGAACTTTTCAAACATATTGAAATATTTCAGCATCAAATTCTATTCATTTCCTCTGCACTAGATAACTTTATACTAAATATAACAAGGCATTCTCCTATTTTATAGGTAAAAATGAAATTCATGATGGTTAAGTGACCAAAACTCAGACAGTAAGTTAATGAAGACCTCTAGATAAGATCCTGATTCTTCTAATATTTGGTTTTAGGGAATTGTGCCATATTTGGAAAAACACTCTAAATGGAATTTGGCCTATTTTACATAAATAAAAATTAAGAAATTTTAATTTGAATTTGTTCTTTTATCTACCCAGCAGCAAGTACTTATTTTTAGTCCTTAACTAATTTTTGTTCTCAATATTAAAGTTTATCTAAATTGACCAGCCATTTTATTGTTGGTCAGCAATAAACTTATTTCTTTTTTCTGAGCCTTAGTTTTGTTAAAATTGCTCCAACACACAGCACATATTCTTGTACTCTAATTTAATATAAAAGATTTCTCTCTCTCCTAATTGCATCATTAATATTGTTTTAGAAGGAAAATTTTAAACCATGATTTGTGTGTGTGTGACAGTAGCATTTTTCTATTTTTAAATCAATGAGCTTTGAGAAATGCTAAAAATACTTCTGACATGGAGAGGAAAACAGAAAGGCTTCTAAATTGGATTTTGCTAGTGAATAATATTCTTTCTTCCAATACTCATGTCAACAGTTCATGCCATTTGAGGCAACACAAGATCAAGTAATATCCATTTATATTCTGGTCATCTCTTTCACACAAGCTCCTCAGTCTCTTCTCTTTTCTTATAGTTCCTAAAATGTATTAAAATAGAAATTTGGGTAAAAGTAATGTGATTTTTCAAAACTATTGGTAACCAAGGTTTACTTTTTAAAAATGGTGGAGAGACAGCTGCAGATTATATAAATGTTTTGCCTTCATAATATATAACATTCAACATAAATACTCAATTATGGCAGATCCATTTTTTTCACCTACCAAGTAAAGAATGGAAGCCTTATCTACTGAGTGTATCTGCACAACTGCCTAGCTGGATGTGAGGTTCATGGGCAGTGTAAGTTGGAAAGGTAGGCTTGTGCCTACCTTTGGGAAGGTAGCCTTTTTTTGGTATGTAGAAGTATTTGAAAGACAGTTGACAGTTGGGGTAAAGGAATGATGACTGAAATCAGAGAGAAGTTAAGAAGTTGGGAAATAATTCAGAAAAGAGTGTATGTCAGATTTTAAACTGAAAATAGCTGTGAATCTTGAAAGAAGGACATAGTTTGAATTATATTTAGGAATTATCTATCATATCACTTTATGGTTGATTTTAGGGATAGAGGATGATTTCTAGGTTTTTCTGGTGGAGTGGTTGGGGGTCTAGTGCTACCATCCACAAGCGTGGTTGGTACAGGAGAAGTTACTTGTGAAACAGGACAGTGAAGTTGGCTTTGGCTATATTGTTAGACACACTAATGAGATACCAAGGTAAAAATATTTCATGTTCCATTAAAAAAGGATCTTCTGGAATTGAGAAGGAGCTCTTTCCCACATAGAGGGTGAAGCAATGGGAGGAGATAGAAATAGTCGTGATTGCTCCAGCAGGCTGTGTGCAAGGAGCAGTTAAAATAAAAAGGGCTCAGGCCACTCCCACTGCTTGGAACACCTTTGTTTAAGGGTGGGCAAAGGAAAGAAGTGCCTGAGCCAAAAGCTCAGAGAAGGTATCAAAGTGATAGGGTATGAGCCTTGAAGTGAAAAACAAGGAAATCATTTTAAGAAAGTAAAATGATTGTTAATGGGATGCCACATTGTGATCAATTAAAAAGTATCTGTGGGATCCAAGGATGGAAAAAGAGCACAGCAGCCGAAGAACGAGTAGATGGTGGAGCTGGAGTGGCAAGTGCTGCCTAGTCTCCCAAGAATTTAGCTCTGAATGGGGTGTGAGGGAACCAAAGCAAGTTGTCCCTGTCTCTGCACTATTGCCCTTTGGGGGTGGATAATCCTGCCTTGCAGGGGGCTGTGCTCTGCTCTGTGGAATGTTTAGCAGCATCACTGGCCTTTGCCCAGGAAATGCTAATAGGACCTTTCTAACCCCAGTTGTGACAACCAACATGTGTCCAGACACTGCTGAATGCCTCCTGGGGGCTCAACATCAGTTGAAAATTACTGATCTAGGTACATCTAGGTGGTTAAGAGTGTTTGGATAAGTAGCATTCAAAGTTATACAATTTATATTATGAAATGATTGTGGATGAAAATATGGAAATTTTTGACTGTTTCATCTTGGTTTTTATTTTGAACTTAAAAGGTCTGGGTATCTGCTATCATATGAAAAGTGAAATTTTATTGCTAAACATCTTAACTCATTGTAAAGAAGTTCTTTACTATACTGTATTTGTCTGTCCTCTCTTTTGTTTTCCTTTGATGCATACTTCAGCTTTAGGTAATGAAGCAGTATAGTGGAGGGAAAAAATATTCAGGACCAGTCATGTCAATGGAGATTTGAATTGCTTACCTCATATTTGCTGTTGCCATCTCTGGTGTGAAAAAAAAAATAATCCACAAAATACTTTTCAAATCACTTGAACTCAAGAAAGGCAAAAGGTGGTTTTTACACATTTAGAGAACAGAATTTCAGGGTCAAAAGCAAGGAGTCTGACACTGAAGAAGTTCATATGCCGTTTTCTGATGGGATCACCAAGAGGTGTAGCTGGTGCAGATACTATTTCAGTTTGAACACCAGAATTCACTGTGTTTGGAGCAGAAGGTACACAGGGGTCCTCACACATACTGCACCTGCCTGCGGTGCAGCCCGAGTCAGTGGCAGCCCCCAGAGAAAGCAGCAGTAGCCCCAGGTGGTAGATACATGACAGCAGCTTGATCTATCGACCAGGGTAAGAGGGGGTTCTAGCCTAAATGACAATTCATGAAAAATTGATGAAGTCCCCAGACTGCTTTTTCTGTTTCCTTTTCTCAGTACTACCAGAGCAGAGAGGGGAGGTTAAATGAGGTGCTGAATGCTTTAGTGGCAAGGAGGTTGTGGTTCAAAAGTCAGGAGTTACATAGAAACTGATCTATTTTTGCTTTCCTTACTTCTAATGCAAAACACAAAAACTTTTCAGATTAGCTGTGATTTACCTTGTTTTAACAAAAAAAAATTTTTTTAAAAGGCTGTTTAAAAGTTAACTTTTGAGACAACTATAAAAGAGAGACCAGATGTGATTCAAAGTTCAACTGGGGAAGTAGAAATACATTGAATTCCATGACTGCAGGGTGATTTCTT